AATTATTACAGTGGTTATTTTTTAATCTGCTACCATAGCAACAAAGACACAGACACCTGTTGTATTTTTAATATGTCTTAAACCCGGGGCTGGGCAAATATAAAACCCTAACCGCAGCCCCACATCCCATGTCGTTTGCTTTCATCGTTTCTACCTGGGCTGCTTCCCGGCGTTAATTCCATAAACGCTTGCTTATGCTTTTCGTCTGCACTGCTCCTCTCCAGCATCGATCGTCAGAGTAAACTGGTGAGAAAAAGTCAAGTCACCATAGGACAGAGTAAAGAAGAACGATGAGGGCCGGGAGAGGTTCACTCCAATTGAACCGGGCCAGGTGGTAGTGACACATGCTTTTAATCCCAGCTCTCTGTGAGTTCCAGGCCAGTCTGGTCTACAAAACAAGTCCAGGGCGGCCAGGGCTACATAGAGAAACCCTGCCTCAGGGGGTGGGGGGGGGGAGGATTGAACTGATGGCCAGAAGTACCTCTGTCGTGCTCAGATTCCTTTAGAGACAATTTTAAGGTACATCAAGAGTTGAGTCTAAAGAAGTCTGCCTCACTCAGCATCTAAAAGTACTTTTGTGAGTCACCCATGTACTCGGTATCTTGATGTTGCTGCTCATTCCATGCCACATAGATATAATTTGGCCTTATTGACGAACCAGATTTTGCCCTTAAACATGTCCCAATGATTGCATGTCAAATGAGCCTCAATCAAACTGGTTTTTGGTTTTGCTTTGTTCGAGTTTAGGTGTTGTTTTTTAGGTGTGGGTACATGTTGTTTGGTTTGGTTTTCGTTCTTCGTTTAGAACTGAAGCTCCATCTTTTCACATGCCAGGCAGCAGCATTCTTTTTACTTCTTACATTGCGACAAAGTCTAAGGCCCACAGACTGGCCTGGAACTCACTTTGTAGCCTAAGATTCTTCTTGAGCTTTCAGTCCCCCAGCCTCAGTGTCTCAAGTAGCTGAGATTACAGGTCTGTACTGCCAGGCCTGGTGTTCACACTGGTTTTAAAGGGTGGGAGGGACCACCAAGCCATCACAGGAATTAATGCAAGTAAACAGCAGTTGCAGTACTGCAGTTAAACAATTAGGAGGGGAGCAGTGAGGGGTCACAGCTTTCGTTAGCACAGACAGGAAAACCAGCTGAAGCGTCAACAAGGAAACAGAATGGAAGAAATTGGGAAATTCTTCTGATGCCAAAGAACTCACCACAGTGAGGTGGCCTGAGGTCAAGGACACCTGCCCTCTAACATGGTCCCAGACCATGAACCAAAGAGAGACCAGAAGAAATATTAAGAGTGATTTAATGAAACCAGAGTTGCAGAAGGAGGCTTGGCAGACAAGCTGGGAAAAGTAGAAACTGGGATCCTTGTCTGCCCATTGAGACAGTTTATGAATGAAAACTGCATTCTGCCCAGGATGGCTTGAACCTTAGGCATGAAATCCATGCCAACAGAGAAGAAATGATTAACCTCATTCTGCTCCAGTCACTTTCACTTTGAGGTCTGCCCTCTGTGCCTTAAAACTTTGGATGGGTGTTAAAGACAGGAGCTAGCTGACCTCGTTTACTACCATGAGTTTATCTTTTAGTTTTGGCCCAGGTAGAAAAAAAAAACAACAACAACTAATTGTATTTGCTGTCATCAGTTTATCCTGTAGCTTTGTGGTCAGTGCCTGGGCTGGCTGCTCTTTCCCCAAGGTGCTCTTTTGGTTCATGTTTAATTCACTGGTGACAAGTGGTCTGAGGACTGCTTGCTGAAATGCCAGAGTTTGTTTGTTCATCTCTGACTGTGAGCAAACCCAGGACTGGCACACGTCCCTTTGAGTATCTGCCTCTTCTCCCAGTCGCCTCTTTGCCAATTCCAACACTCCAACCTGAAATCTAAACAATAGCATAGATTGTAGGGTCATTTCCTAAGTCAAGAAAGTTCAAGAACAGGGTTATGTAGAGATATTCATCCTGGCTTTAAAAAAAAAAAAAAAAAAAAAAAAAAAAAAACTATGGAGAGTCAGAGGCAAAGTAGAGATACACCATTAAGACAATGGATACACCAGCAACGGGCAGGAGCAGATGCAGAGACCCACAGTCAAACAGTAGGTGGAGCCAGGGAAACCTATAGAAAAGGGGAAGGAAGAATTATAGGAGCCACAGGCATTCAGGACACTAGGAAAACACCCCACAAAATAAACTAATCAGGGCGCACAGGGGCTTACAGAAACTGAAATGGCAAACATGGAACCTGTATAGGTCTTAGCTAGGTCCTCTGCATATAGCTTATTGGTTGAATAGCTGCCAACAGTGGGACGTCTCTGACTCTTTTGCCTGCTCTTAGGACCCATTTCCTCCTCCTGGGTTGCCATATCCAGCCACAATATAAGGGTTAGTGCAGGTCTTATTGTAGCTTGTTTACTGCCTATCTCTGGAAGGCCTGCTCTTTTTTGTGTGTTTTTGGTTTGGTTTGGTTTGGTTTGGTTTGGTTTGGTTTGGTTTGGTTTGGTTTGGGGGTTTTTGTTTGTTTTTGTCTTGTTTTATTTTTGGAGGAGAAACAGAGGAAGAGTTGATCTGGAGGAGAGGAGAGGTGGGGGATGGGCTAGGAGGAGTAGAGGGAGGGGAAATTTCAGTCAGGGTGTGATTAATGAAAGAAGAATAAATGAAACAAACAAACAAAGACAATGTATACAGCCAAAGGATGAATTAATTGCACACAGGAGTGAATAGGTCTCAATGACATAACACCACAGAAAACAGTAAAACGACCGGGAGGTGTATTTTGAAAACCACTGAGCTACATATAGAGCAAAGGTCAAACCTGTCCACTTCCCAAAGATAGAAGCAGACAGAAGGAACACCCCAGAGGGAAGGTGGATGGCTGTGGGCATCACTGAGAAGGGAAAACAGACATGAGAAACACATATGGCCTAATAAAGATGCTGATACACACTGAGGAGTTTCATTCTGCTAATATCTGTACTCGAGGTCCAAAAAAATTATGTCTTCATTTACCAAAGTAAAAGAAAATGATAAAAACACAAAGAGACAAAAGCCTCGTCTCCTGCAACTGTCTAAAAAATATGCAGTTGTGTTTCCATTTTTAACTGTTGTCTCAGATGCTTGCTACAAAGGTTTCTCCCTCCCTTGACTATCTTAATCTCATTAATATTCTGGTAGTATCTTAAGTATATGTGTTAGTCCAAGCTGGAGAGAAGACCCAGCAAACAGAGATGCCTGCCACCAAGCCTGGCTGGCTCTATCCCTAGGCCCCACCTGGTGGGAGGAGCAAACAGCTCAACAAGTTGAGCTGACTTCAACACACACTGTGCCGTGTGTGTGTGTGTGTGTGTGTGTGTGTGTGTGTGTGTCACAAATTAAATAAATTAAATTCAATATAAAGAAATGAAATTTTTTTTTCTATGCCTGGCAAGTGCTGGATAATATGTGCACATACTGTCTGTCCATCAAAGTCATTGATTGGCCACAGGATTTAAGCTCCTCCTGCAAGAGTTAGTTTGAGTCTTTCCAGACTTCCTTACACCCAGGAAGGTAAAAGAACTGAGTCAGTAACAAGCAAGTCTGAAGAATAACAAATGACGAAGATGTGAGCTTTTGTTGTTTCATTTTGGTTTTATGAGACAGGATCTCTATGTAGTCCAGGTTGGCCATGAACCTCCTACCTAACTGAGGTTAGCCTTGAACTCTTGATCCTCTTATCTTCACCTCCCAGATGCTAGGATTACAGAAGGGCATGACCACCATGCCCAGCTGGAAATGAGCAATTTCTATACTAACACTTCCGGGGACGAGGTGGTAAAAGATGACACTCAGTACTGGCAACCGTGAGAAATCAACACAGGTCAACCGAACTCTTCGTACAGGAAACTGTACGCTTCCTGTCTGCTCAACGAGAGCTCACAGGCCTGTTGTCCCCCTCCATTTATCTTTGAATAAATAACTAAAACTGCACACCTGCCGGGAGTCAAGCCGTGGCCCAGGTGGAATCACCATAATCACCTTAACAAAGTGGGAGAAAATAGCCACACCCATAAACTGCCAGCACCCCCACCCAGGAGCAAAGCTGAGGGACTGGGCAATGGCGGGTGTGATTCTCCACCACTTCCTTCTGTGGACATAAAATCCAAATTGAAGTATCTGTTGTCTTTAGGGTATTAGCTTCTTATAGCTCACTTGGGTGGGTCAGGAGGCCAGAATTCACTGCTCTTCTTGCCCTTGACTCCCCTAATTCATGGGCTAGAAGAAATAACTAGAATATCATTAACTTATTTATAATAAAATATATAAAATATAAGTATATAAAATTTATATATATTGTATATATGATACATATAATATATTTTAATTATAAAACAACCTCTCTTATTTTATTCACCAGTTTATTTATTAGGTATTTGTTGAGGTTAAGTATTATCTTAGATACTGAAATAGAGTGGTGAAAAAGTGGACTATGAAAATAAACATGGCAATCATAGCATTGCCAAAAGTCCCCTCACTTTTGAGAAATTAGGACAAGACTCAGACCACTTGAATGACCTCTGTAAAGTTTCCTCTCTAACAACTCACTATCCAACTAATGACTCTCACCAAGCCGATGCATGGCTCATGTTCACTGCGTAGGACAGAAACTGTCACACGCTGGCTCCTTCAACCACACTCATGTAAGCCTATTTCAAACACTAGGTTAAGCTCGGGTCACTGTATAAGTGTGAAGGCAGAGGCAGAGGAAAGCATCACCCTCTCCTTGTCTGCTTTCCACTCCTTACAGTCAGATCTTCTCGAGGCAAGCAGTGTTTTAGAGCAAAGCTTCACGCACGAGCCGCTGTTAGGACAGAACCCACAGAGGAGGAGGCCACCATCGTCTCCCACGCTGTGTGTTTGACACCGGCACACGGAAAGGACTTCCCAAAACTACAGGCATGTGCTCGTCTTTGGATTAGCTCAGGATATAACATGGATATGTAACAGAAATGAATTTTTCATTTTAACGGTGACTTTTTTGACTTTGACTTTTAATCGATACACAGTAAGCACACACATTGATGGGTACGGCGTGATTTTTCAGTACAGGTGGAAGATGACTGACACAGAGTCCTCAGCACATGTATCCTCCAGTCCTTAGAAAACATCCATCGTCTTTTCGCCTCGCTATTTTGAAATTCACAATAAATTGGTAGCCATACGATGATTGTTGATCATTATTGCCACATCGCTGAGCTACAGAGCGGTCTGGCCAAAACGTTAATCAACCTCTCCCATCCTCTCACTCTTCCTGTACTCTGGTGACATGGCGTGAGTGCTTTTCTGTGTCTAGTTGATCTCTGTGTAACATGTTACTGAACATGGCAGGGTTTCATTCCCCTGTGGATGAATAGAGATGGAGGGGATGAGAGTTTCTACAGTGAGACCCATTAAAACAAGCTCTATTTCATTAGCCCAGATCTAGGCTTTAAATGGCTAACAAAATACTTCAGCAGTCTCTGAGAAAGCCCAGCAGGAAAATGCCAACCCCAGGAGGCTACGCTAATTCTCTGTCTAACGGCAGCGTGTCATAGCAGGTTTGGCATTTGTTAAACATACATTTGTGGACAAAGATTCACTGAGCCGGTTCCCCACCCCCCCTTCTAAAGACACGGGGCAGATCCAAGGCTCAGCATGTGGCGGCATCCATCAGCGAATGACCTTCTCACAGATCCACGGCAAAGGGACTTCGCAGCTGGAGGCCTGAAGGCCAGCTTGGTGGATGACACCACACCTCTGTATCAGGCTGTTGGAAAGAATCCTGTGGGAAACCAGAGGAGTCCGTCGCTTTTGGTTACATGCACATACATGAACAAAATCCATCTCCTCCTAGATTCCCTCTGGTCCCCAGATGGCAGGAGAATAAACGGTTTATTGGTTTATTGAAAATGTCCCTACATTTCTGTCCCCTCCTGTGAACACCACTGCTCAATTCCTGTCTGTTTATCATCTCTCCCTTCCAGCCTTTGCTGTCTGCTGTTTTCCTTCTGTTTCCCGAGCCCCAGCTGACCCCCCCTTCTTCTTCTTTCACTGTCCTTGTTCTTCAAACACCTTACCTTAAGCTTAGAGCTGAGCCACCTTCCCATCTCCAGCCATCATTGTTCCTCAAGCCAATCCAGTAAAAGTCTGGGCCCAGATACTCTCGGAACAGGTTCTAAGGGAGAGATTGAAGACGGTGAATAAAGATAACAAAGACGCAGAATGCCAGAGACCCCTTGAGGGAATTGCATCATCACCATCCTTAAACTTTCTCTCAAAACCGGGAGAGGACCGGATACTTATGTACCTCAAAATTCATATGTTGAAACCCAAACTTCCAATCTGATGGTGTCTGAAAGTAGAGAGCTAAGAGTTGATTAGGCTTAGGTGAGGTCGTAAGGACAGTGCCCCCCAAATAAGGAGGGACCAGAGATGAAGCGCTCTCTAAAGTGAGGACACAAGGAAAGACAGCCTTGGGTGAGCTGGAAAGGGCTCTCAGCAACAACCTTGGCTTCACAGCCCAGTCTCCAAAGCTGTTAAGTGTCTGCTGTTCAAGCCATCCGCTCTAGGGGATTTTATTGACATGAAGGAGTTGAGGCAAACAGCCACTCCAGATAACTAACCCCTCTTTTGCTTCTAATTCTAATGGGGCTCTGAGTTCTAATAGAAATCTGTTTATTGCAAGGAGCTGCTTTCCAGAGCTGACCTTTAGTTTACAAGCACACTCTCACAGTGTAACAGATAAGATCCCGGGGGCAGCTCCACCTTCCAGCACTACTTCCTTTCTGACGAGATGGAGCCTGATAGGTTTTCAGCAGAAAAGAAGCTCAACCCTGTCGCAGAAGCATTCATTTTACTCATCATCCAAAACACCAGGCTCAGTTACCCTCAAAGAGACATGCTTGTGTAACCACACAAGACTCTTACTTTCCTTTCCTTCCCCTTCCACCCCCCAGGACAGGGTTTCTCTGTGTAGCGTTGGCTGTCCTGAACTCCCTTTGTAGACCAGGCTGGCCTCGAACTCACAGAGATACATACACCTGCCTCTGCCTCCTGGAGTGCTGGGATTAAAGGTGTGCACCACCATGAGCCCAGCTGGCTCTCATTTTTCAATGGTCCATAAGATAGAGTTAAACTCAGTATACCCATATCTGTGCTGTGCTACCCATTAGGATGGGACAAAGGATGCTTTGCTCTGCACACTGGTACAATCAAATGAAGATGTTTCTGCCCTCAGGGACACGCCCAACACAATAAACAGAGCAAAGAAAATGATCCAAGAAGACTAATTTTGTTGTAAGGTTGAGCATTCATAGAATGACTAATTGCATTTTTAGTGTTTTCCAGTGACAGCTTAACTAATTGAATTTGGACCGGATTACTTTTTATGGCATTTTAGATTAGCCTTTGTTGAACAATTTCTTTTGGAGAAAATTATCCAGAATTATTCAGAAATCTGGAAAGCCTAATAAAATTTCAACTCTATTGTTATCATGATGGTACTAAGTGTCCCATTTGGCTGTCATTTTTATTCTATTCCTGGAAGATGGTGGCTGAAGAGAAAAAGTTTTAGGCTCCGCTGTTGATGGCCTTCCTTTGTCTGCCTGCATCCTCACCGCAAGAAGAAAGTCAAGTGAAGAATAAACTCTCTCCCCACACCCAGGGGCAGCAGACAGTTGAAAACTCCTCTGTGCTATTTACTAAGGCCAGAATCACCTCCATTTTCTCTTCTTGGGGTTTCAAAACCTAAACTCTTTGCTACACATACAAAGGCTTGCATGGTCTGGGCCCTGCCAACCATTTATTCATGAGCTTTCAGCCCCATCTACCTTCTTTCTGGTTTTTGTAACAGGCCAAGACCAGTCTTGCATTAGGGCTTTGCACAGCTTTTACTCCGTTACAATGCCCTTCCCCTCGACTGTCGCTGGCTGTCATTGTGCTGGCCTCAGCCTGCTCCTGAGGGGTCCTCAGGACCCCCCTGTGCTGCCCACAGTCACTATACATTAAACTGAGCATCGTCTCCAAAGCACGAATTACCATATTTATTTATGACTGTAGTTGTCTGTCCCCTCTAACAGACAACTATAATGGAAAGAACTCCTGTTTACAAGCTTCCTGGAAACTTGAAAAAATATAGGACACTATATCCAGTAAGTATTTATGGAACTATAAACTGTGGAGTCAGGCAAAAGCCTCCTAAACACAAATCTCCACCCCCTTTGCCTCTTACGATTATTAAGTGTGCATGCTGGGGTAGCAAGAAAGAATAAAGGAGAAAGAGACTGGGATGAAGTAACATTCCAGTGTGTGGGATGCCCTGAAACTTCATGCATTTCTAAACCCACCTGTTAAAAAGAGAATGTGTATTGGCTGGTTTTTTCCCTGGCTTTCTAAGAAAGCCTTGCATTTCTTGGGCTGGGGTTGAGGTTCAGTGGTAAATCGATCACATATGTGTGTGTCTGTGTGTGTGCGAATAGGTGAATGTAAATATGTGTTTTTATATACACACAACTTATAGATAATATGTTTAATTTAGATGAAGCTACCATTAAGGCACAAAAGTACACTCCTTAAGTTTTCAAATTAATATGGTCCATGGAGTACATCTGAGGTGTTTCAATACATACTGAGGAGAGCCAGTTACACAACAGAACTATTAAATAGTAAGATCTTTTGGTGAATCAGCACAGTTTTAATGGCTAAAACATAACCAAGTTACCCAAAGAAAAATAATTGATATGAATATAATCGTGTGACTATAATGTGAATATATATGTGAGTATAATCGTAATAGTTAAACATAGGTAAAATTTTATCTTAAGAATTTGAAAAGATTTAAGCAATATTAGGATAAATCAGGATTTTAAATAATCTCTAAAACTTAAATATTTCACAAATTTTAACAATTACCTAGAGTAATTTAGCACGAAATGAAAGAAAAGAAATGAAACAGTGTTATGTGCTGATGGCACAACAGAAAGCACAAGGTGCCAATGAACCCCAGACACACAGGATGTGTGTTTTTAAACAGAATGTCTTCTGTTTCTGAAAAACAGAAATTTTTCTTCATGTGAAATGTTTTTCTTCAAACACTTTTAAAGGTAAAGAGCTTAACGCAATGCATATAAGTATTAACTTGAAGAGCAATAAGGAGTCCTCCTGAGATCTAGAAACACTTGGATTTTCTACTTAAGTAAATCCAAAAGGACATCGGAAGTCAAAACAAACAAACAAACGAAACAGATTGTTCACATGATTCTGAATAGCTGTAACCAGGCTCAGGACAGGGCTGAAAAGAAGTTAATTACGTAGTTTTTTAGTGTGTGTGTGTGTGTTTGTTTGTTTGTTTTTTGGCGGGGGGGGGGAGGATTGATAATAACCATGTAGCCTCTCTTTATAGCAAATAAATTAATTCTTTGGGAGTATTTTACACCAAGAAACGTCAGTTTAAAACTTTTAACCTTTTCAATTGCACTTATTGGCTTATTTGTGTTAGGGAAGGTGGGGTGAGCCACAGCGAGCATGTGTGGAAGGTGGAGGACAATGTGCAGGAGCCAGTTCTATCCCTCTCCCGTGTGGGTTCCAGGAACCGAACTCAGGTTGTCAGGTGTGGCGGCAAGAACCCCTACCCACTGAACCATCTGGCTGGCCTGAAACTGTTCTGTTTTAACAGACTTGCGCAGCTGCACAGAGGTTCACTGCGTAGCCCAGGCTGGCCCCGAGCACATGCTCCTGCTTCAGCCACCTTTAGGGTAGAATTACAGACACGTGTCACCACGCCCAGGTTTTCGTTTTTAAATCTGACTCTTGGTTGCTTTCCAGACGTATGCATGAAACTGGGAATATTGCTCATTCCACGATATAGTAAGTTTTGCCTGGAGAACAAGAGAGTAACAATAGTGGGACGATGGACTCTACCAATCGGAACAGGTCATTTTGGTTTTATAGACTTTGACAAAAGATGAAAAAAAAAAAGAGAGAGAGAGAATCAATCGAGAGTCCACAAGGGTGTGGACTTACTAGTAGTTGTTATTAAATACAAGCAGCAGCACTGGACATCCTCCAAAGCTGACTGGAACCAAGGGCTCTGGGTTCAAAAGCAAACAGTCTAATTTTGGAAATGCGGCCTATTTTAAGTCGATTGAGTATTTTCCACAGTGGGCACATGACCCAGGAATCATAAGAAATCATAAGAAAAACACAGTCCCTCGAGAGCCCTGCCCTCCTCCAGGCACACAGAAACACAGAGATAGCCTCAATGCCCAGACACCTCTCAGTCCGTGGTGTCATGGCTGCTGTAGCCAATTCTCCGGGCCGCTTGTCTTTGCCATGGCTTACTGCTGTTGCTGTGTCTGTAGTTTGGCAGCAAATGCTTGTCCCTGTGGCCTGTCTCCTTCCCCCGCCTCCCAAGTTCCTGTGACTCCTGTATAGAAGCCACTGCCTCCTTGCTGGACCTGTGTGTTTCAGGACTTCAGGCCTTTTTTAACTAGGTCTGTGTTCTCGGCCCACTTCTTTTCTGCAATGTTTGCCATCCTCTCGCCTCACACATGCACACACACATACACACAAACACACACAGAAATAAAAAATACATAAACGTTCAAATACACACACCACAACCAGGCATAGTGGCACACGCCTTTAATCCCAGCACTCAGAGAGGCAGAGGCAGGTGAATCAATGTTAGTTCGAGACCAGCCTGGTTTACAGAGTGAGTCCAAGACAGCCAAGGCTACATAGAGAAACCCTGTCTCAAAAAAGAAAAAAATTATAAACACAAATAAATATCTAAACACACACATACGAAGAGCACACACACACACACACACACACACACACACACACACACACAAAGAGCTAGGAAGCTAAGGCAGGAAGATTACAAGTTCAAAGCCAGCCTGAGCTACATAGCAAGATGTCATGTAAAAGGAGGGAAAGAATGGGTAAGGGTAGAGGAAGGAAGGAGGGAGAAATAGCTCTCTATTTTCTACATGTTTTTATTTACCACTTCCTGGTTGTCCAGAAGCGTAAGCAGATGTGAGCCTTGGTCTGCACAGAATTTTAGACTAGAATTCCAGTCCCTTTTCTCCAGGGAGAAATAGTAACAATGGCTGCCATTCCTCATCCAGAAGTTGGGGCAGCTGGGGCAGCGGGCACACGCAGAGTCCATGGAGCCTAGGAGAAGAGAGGATACACAGTTCACATCTTTATGGACCAGTGATCTGGGAAAGTAAAGAAAACATGGCACCTCCAGTGTCCACCTTGCCTTGCCCTTTTCAAGCTAAGTAAAGTTAGGGAGGCCTAGAACATCCTGCCTAAAACTGAATGTCATCTGTATGCATTCGGACGCTGCAGAAAGGACTGCACGCGTTTTATGATGCAGATCTCGGTACTGAGTTCTCTGAGTTCCTGAGTTCACATGTTCAGAATCATTCAAGGAAACAAACCAGAAGGAGCCAACAAATGCGATCATCTGGAACCAACAGAAGTTGGGGAGTTGGGGAGGAATCCTTCCATTCGGCAAAAGTGACTTCGTTGAACATAATTTGTTTCTGCCAGAAAAGCGCATTAGACGCTAAGTGAAAAGAGAGAATTCTCCTGCCGGGTCCCTCCGGAAGATACGGTCCTCATAGCTTTAAAGTGTGTGAAATGAGTGGGCACTGTGGAAACATCTCGGGAAATAAGGCCCCACGATCTGTCGATTTTCTCCTTCCTTGAGACACATCCGCACACCATCAGCATACGCCGATCGGCCGCAGCAGACACGCGGAGGCACAGCTGTGGTGTCGCCGCACCTTCTGGATGGGGAACTAGAAAGTGGAGCGAGCCTTCCTCGTCACAGGAAGATTAGGTCACTTCCTGAGGGAAGGCTGCCCACGGCACCCTGGTGAGGCTCTCCAGACTCGCAACGGCGTTTTGTGGCCATTTCTCTGCCAAGAGTTAGGGCTCAACTAGGAAGCGGAGAGTGGGGCTGAAGCCTGAGAATCCTCTAGCAGTCTGTGAAAACCTGTCATCTCGCCTTATACTGTAAGGTGAAAGGTTAATGGGGGGGGGGGGGGGGCGCTTACCGCAGCACTGGATCCTCTGGTACAACAGTAAACTCGCGAGGATGGCAGTCAAAAGCCCCAAAGCCACCATCATGAGGCAGGGAAAGCGGCGCGCCTGTGAGACAGCTGCACAATCCAAAGCAAGACCTTGGCGTCAGAGCCAGACACTCAGGTGTCTTGAAGCAATTCTGCCTGGAGGGACTGAGACCCAGGCCACGCAGGTTCCTCTCGTGGTCTCGTAGGACACTTCCTCAAGTTGAAGGAAACACTTGCCTTCGCAACTGTGCCTTGCCTGTCCTCACACACAGACAGTGAGCTAGTGACAGTCTCTGCCTTTAAGGGACCGAAGGACAATTTGGCATTATTTACCAGAGTTGCAAAAGCTTTTTGCCTTTTGGCCCAGCAATTTCTGGTCAGGAAACGTTTTTCTAGATACTCACACATGTACAAAATATCCTACTCATTTGGCTGCTTGTGGCAGCAGCGTGTATAGAAAGAAAAGGCCAGATTTCTAATTTTATCGACCAAATATCTAAAGTTTATCAACAAAGGACCAGCAGAATATATTGATACCCATTAAATTTGAGGGATTTTCTTTTAATCCAATGCAAAGTTATTTTATTTTTTTTAATATATACTTAAGAGAAAGACACATTCCTCAGAACAGGAGCTGCTTAATATCACCAAAGTCTATCCAAGGCCACCTCTCAGCCTTTGCGCCAAGATCAAATACGGAAGTCCATCCAGGCATTTGATACTGTTTTCCCTTTTGAAAAGGAAATGGGTGCTTGTGAGCAAAAACAGAAGAAAGAGAGTGTTAACCTTTTTTTTTTAATCATTCAAATCTAAACCCCAAGCTCAAATTTTAAGTAAATAAAATATAAACTGAAATAGAATAACCTTTGTCTCAGAAGTGCTTGATAAGACTGACCTTGTTTTGCAAGTAACTATTGGACATATAGTGAGGTTAGGTTGGCCTTGGCATTAAGCCTAAAGCATTGCGCCATGTGGCATGCCTCCTCTGAGAATACTGAATTTCTAGTTTTAAAATGAAAGTATTTTTCTCAAATCTTTGTTTAAAAACCATAGGCACGTTATGGTGTGATGGTGTGAAAATCATGTGTGAAGAAGAATTGTAAAGACCTTTGGTTAGCTTTAAATAAAGCAATTATTCTGAAGCTAGATGTGATAGCCACGCCTGTAACGGTTGGCCCCGTGGGAGCAGAAGCAAAAGAATCAGTGATTCTAGGTCATCCTTGCAACTGAGCGAATGGGAGGCCAGCTTGGGCTGCTTGAGGTTCTGTCTCAGAAAGAAAGAGAATTTATATAGGAAAATAGGAAACATATTATTAAAAATAGAATTTTTAATATTATTAAAATTTAAATTTAATATTTTTCTATTATTAAAAATAGAATTTTCCTATTTTAGTCTCATGTGCCTACTCAAATTTCAGATCGATTTATTCTTATACATTTGTATCTATGAAAAAGTCCTCAAGTTCTTAAGGTGATTTCACAGTGAGCGAACCTTCATAAAGAGTTCAGCATGATAAATATTTTGACTCATGAATCCCAATTCTCTAGTATTATAGTGGAACAAACAACAAAAAATAGATTTCACCTTTAACCCCAGCATTCAGGAGGCAGAGGCAGGTGGATTTCTGTGAGTCTAAGGCCAGCCTGATCTACAGAGCAAGTTCCAGTATAGCCAGGACTATATAGAGAAACCCTGCCTAAAAAAAAATAAAATTAAAATTAAAAGTACACCAGACTTGTAGTATAGATGACATTTTTATTATTTATTATTATCTCCTGTCTCCAAGACAGGGAGGGTTTCTCCGCCTGTAATCCCAGCACTCCTGGAGGCAGGGGCAGGCAGATCACTGTGAGTTTGAGCCAGCCTGGTCTACAAAGTGAGTCCAGGACAGCGAAGGCTACACAGAGAAACCCTGTCTCGAAAAAAAGCAAACAAAACAAAACAACAACAACAACAACAAATGTTGCTTTCTTCACTCTATGGTTAGGGAAACAGAGATGGTGAGATTTCAACAGTTAAAAGTAGATTGCTCCAAGCCTGACTTCAGACAAAATTCTCTCGCAAAGCTCCGACTTCAGATAGATCAGGATCAATAGAGAACAGCGCGCTTGCCTAAGTGTCCAAAAATCCTTAAGAATAAAGGGGAAAAAACGAACAACAGCAAAAAGATAGCATTGCCATTGCTGGGCATCAGGTGGGCTCCCAAAGCGAGAGCCTAGGGGGGAATTATCTGAGACCCAATCACAGCTCCACTCCACGCCAACAGCCCCTAACAGCACTGCACACTGAACCCCAAGGATTTCTTCACATGGTCCTCAACTGTCTGCAAGCTCCCCTCCCGATTATTCTCCTCTCCTCTCATCCCTGGCACAGGCTTCAGGGCTGATGTGGTCACCTCACCTCTGGGCTTCGGTGTGGAGTCATCTTGGCGTGGAGGTGCGGCAGGCCGCTCTAGCGTGTAATAGACAGAACTGTCAGCCATCTCTCCCAGACACCTTGGGCGCTCAGCACAGAGGGCTGAGTGCCAGCAGGGTGAGAAGCCCGGGTGAGGAAGGAGCCCGCCCTGTGAAGCAGCAGCGGGAGACTCGACAGAAACAGAAGCACTTGGACAGGAAATGATTCAGGTTCTAGGGCTGTGACAGAAATTAATACTCGAATCGTTCTTCATGGGTCCGCGGGCAGGGCAGCCCTTAGACGCTCGGGACTCCCAGGCTCTTCTTGCTCTGCTTGGGATGGCGGTGCTTAAGCCCAGAAGTTTCTAAACGGATTCTGCAGCAAAAGAGGATAGTTCCCAGACTCCATCGCAGGGTCTCTTTCCCTTCTAAAGGAGACAGACACCAGCTGGAGCTGATTGCATCACCTCCTGGACCTTCCAAGCAGCGATAAGGGCAAGTGTGATGGACGGCTGGCTGTGTGGGCCTGTATCATGGAAGAGACAGGCTCCCACGTACTTTTGGGAGCACGGCATAACACTGCCTTGCCCAGAGCTTTCTCCAGGGTACGTGTTTCCCCTTTATTCCTCACAGCGGCAAACACACCGCCATCTTTTCTTGTTGCTTTACCTTTCTACGCAAAGGCAATTATAAAGAGAAACAAATTCAAAAGCGTCACAACTTACTTCTAGTAGGAGAAAGGCCAATAAAAACTCAAGTAAGAAAAAACATGAAAGGAAGTGAAAAACGTAGATGAGATCACTGTCCTGACTAGTTTATTACCAGTTTGACACAGGTCAGAGTCATTTGGAAAAGGGGCCTCCCAGCTGAGAGGAAAAAAAAAAAAAAAAAAAAAAAGCCTCCTTGAGATTGGCCTGTCACAGGACAAAATTTTAGTGGTGATTATAGGAGGGACTAGCCCTTCGTGTGGGGTGCTGCCCCTGGGCTATGGTCCTGAGGTGTAAACGGAAACTGAATGAGCAAGCCAGGAGGAACCGGGCAGTAAGCAGCCCTGTCCACATCAGCTGGACACAATGTTTTAGCACAGCAATGGAAACCTAAGACAATCACCAAGTTAGAGTGAATAAAGACGGAAGAGTGGAGAGAAAGGAGAACCAGGGCCTGTTAGTGAAAACTAATAGAGTTGTTTGAAGCCATGATCGAGAGGTCCTGGACTTGCCTTCCAACAAAAAAAGACACCTAGAAGTACACAGTGGGTGTCTTACACCTACTCTGTGTACATACACATATACACACCCCTAGGAAAATGCCGAAAAGGGCCACCAGTGACTTAGTCGCACACGTTTGGACCAATACTGACACCCTTAAAAAGAAGAAAGTATCCAATTTAGCTTACACTTATAATGATGTAAATAAAGTGTCACCCACATCAGATCTAGAATGAAGAGATGTGGTGTGCAGGGGGGTGGGGAGAGAGAGACCTAGAGAGAGAGTGGGAGAGCATAGAAGAAGAAAGGGGGATGGGGTGAGGCACCTCAAGGAGGGGAAGAGAAAGCAAAGCAGAGTGGGCAAGACAGGAGAGAGAGAAAGAAGGGGGGAGGTCTCTCATCACCCCAGCCCCTGGCTGGTGACGGCTGATGAGGTCACAGGTTGCTAAGCAACCAAGAGGCAGGCTGCCTATATTCTCCAACGTTAGAGGAGGGTTCCTTCCATCTGTGATGGTGCGGTGAGGCATGCCTGCAGTTCCAGCACTGAGAAGGATGAGGCGGGAGGACCATGAGCTCAAGGCCAGCCCAGCCCCACAGTGAGACTTGGGGGCATCAGTTGATTTTCTTAGTGCCATGACCAGCTACCTGACAGACGCACGCTGATGGAGGAGGGTTTGTTCAGGCTCACAGACGTGCGATCTGTCACCATGGAAAGTTCTGGTGACAGGAGCTGAGACGGCTGGGCTCGTTGAATCTGCGAGTCAGGACACAGAGAGAGAGATGACCGCTGACGCTCTGCCCACGGTTTTGTTTTTGTTAGGTCTAGGAGCACACACCGTGGATGGTGCTGAGCACATTTTGGGTGGGTCCTCCTCCCACCTCAGGAACTCCCTTTAGAAACTCCCTCCCAGCCACATTCAAAGATGGGTCTCCGAGGTGACTCTAGAGCAGTGGTCTCAACCTTCCTCACACCACGACTCTTTAGCACAGCTCCTCACGTGGTGGTGACCCCCAAGCATAAAATTACTTTTGTTGCTAACTCATAACTGCAGTTTTGCTACTGTTATGAATCATAATACAAATATCTAATGTATGGGATAGTTGATATGCAACCACTGTGAGGAGTCATGACCCACAGGTTGAGAACCACTGTTCTAGATCCTGTCAGGCTGACAATCGGCTTTAACCATCACAAGTCCACCCCTTGTCAAACTGACACCCAGGCATAACACTTTTAAACCACAGTCTAGCGGAGGGAAAAATACATAGCAAGCAACTTATGTGAGCTGGAGACTCTAGAGTCTGCAAACAAGAACTGTCATAATTACAAAAAAAAAAAAAGAATTAGAATGAATAAAAGGTTGAAGAACCTCATCAGGGAAATGGAAAGTATTAAAAAGAAAAAAAAAAAAAAAGAATCAATCAAATGTCCTTCGGTGAACCTGAAGAGCCTGCAGGAAAATATCAAATGATATGAGTAAGACTGAGAGGCTGGGGAGGTGGATTATCGGGACAGTTCTTGCCGTGCAAGCATCGGGACCCGAGTGCAGATTCCCAGGAACCACAGAAAAGGCCAGCCATGATGGCGTGCACCTGCAATCCCTGTACTGGGACAGGAGGGGCAGGAGAATCCCGGCAGCTCACTGGCCAACCAGCCTAGCCAAACGGATGACCTCTG